AAAAAAAAAAAAAAAAAAAAAAAAAACTGGTGACGGTGCATGCCCTGAGGACAGGCAGGACACCGGCTCAGTCAGGCACCTGGGCAGCCCTTTGTGTGATTACCGCGTCCAGGCTTCATGACTCGTTCCTCCTCCACTGCCCCCACCTACCCCATGTCCAGACTGGAGGGTTTTAAGACGGCCTCTCACCTGCACGGCATTGGCTCTGTTGCGTTTCACCCTCACCTGATCGCTCTGCTTTATACCTTCCAGAAATTCTCCAACGGACCATGGTCTGGTCTGTTGGTGGCATTTTTCCTGGTTTGCAAGGGCTTCTAAGTGTTTGTTTTTATATTTATTCTATATCAGAGGACAGGGGAGACAGGTTAAGAGAGGTGCAGTTGCCCCTTGAACAATGTGGGGCTTGGAGTGCCGACCCCTCAAGCAGTTGAAAACCCATGTATAACTTCAGGCTCCCTCCAAACGTAACTAATGAAAAGCCTGCTGTTAACTGGAACTCTTACTGATAACATTAAACTATTGTGGGGCCCAGTGGCTCACACCTATAATCCCAGCACCTTGGGAGGCCGAGGCAGGTGGATCACCTGAGGTCAGGAGCTCAAGACCAGCCTGACCAACATGGAGTAACCCCGTCTCTACTAAAAAATACAAAATTAGTTGGGTGTGGTGACGCATGCCTGTAATCCCAGCTACTCAAGAGGCTGAGGCAGGAGCTTATTGTATTTTTACAATAAACTAAGCTAGGGGAAATCAATGTCATTAAGAATATCGTAAGAGAAAGTATTTACTACGGGGAAGTGGATCATCAAACCGCCCTCGTCATCTCCACGTGGAGTGGCTGAGGAGGAGGGGCTGGTCTTGTTGCCTCAGGGTGGCAGAGAGGAAGAGGTGGAGGAGGTGGAAGGGGAGGCAGGAGAGGCAGGGACCCTCCGGGTAACTCTGATTGAAAAAGATCCCTGTGAGTGGACCTGTGGTTTGAACCCGCGTTGTTCAAGGGTCCACCGTGCTTGAAAGTGTTTAGTCGGCAGTCCTGAACAAAACGAAAACAATGGTTGAATGAATGAGCAAGGAGAGCAAGGACCTTCCTCCCAGACAGGGCTGTTGTGAGGGGCAGATGCTGACTGACTATCCACAAGAAAGCCCACCCGTGTGAGGGCGCCTGTCACCAGGAGGGGTCCCGGTGCGGCCTGTCGTCTCCTGTTGTTGTCTGGAGCTCAGCAATGGGTGGAAGTCCTAGGGGGACAAAACACACCGCTTAGCAGCAGATGCCCCTCCCTTTGGGCCTAATTTAGCCGATGTGAGTTTAATTTAACCATGGGGGTGTAACTGCTACAAGAAAAGAGAAGAAAAAAGCTGATGCCCTCACCGCCTTCCAGTCCTGACTCTTCAGGAAAAGCCTGGCTCTCAGACGTCTCCGGAGCGCCGGGCCACGTGAGGAGAAGTGGGGGTGCTGGCGGCGGGATGCTCCCCAGAGGCGGAGAGGGGTGGGTGTAGGGTGCTGCAGGCGGCCCTGGAGTTTGGGTGTGCCGCCCTTCCTCCTGCCTTGGGCCCGACCGGGTGGATACTGTGGAGTCTGTTGCGGTCCCCTACTTAGGAAAAGCACACAGAACGCTTTAACGATGTTGACCCGACAGCAGCAGGGGGCCCGGGAACCACGAAGCAAATCAGAGAAAGGAAACTCAGGTGGCCGCACATTTGATTTAAAAGAAAATAACTTCCCTCCTGAAGCAGGGGCTGGGCTAATCGCCCTGGCACAGGCACAAAACCCAAGCGAACCCTTGCCCCTGCTCCAGAACGTCAGGCCACACCCTCCAGATATGGGAAAGGCTTTCTTCTCTGTTTCAAATGACCCTGTTTTGCCTTTTTTAGATGCAAAAGTTTATTTGGTCTGATTTTGAAAAACCTCGGTGCAGCTGAAATAATTGAAGGCAGCCCTGTAAGAAGCAGCACTTCCCGACTTTCTCACCGGCAAACCTTCTGCTGGGGCCCCCAAAACCCCCCGAGGGATCCCAGAGGGGCAGCACAGCCCCTCCCTCCCTGGGCCATGCTGGCTGAGCCTCAGCTGCTTACCCGCAGGAGGACCTCGGGGTTGCTGTGCTAACTAGCACCTTGGCAGGGAAATGATGGCAGCTGCCATGGAGCCAGCATTTGTCGGGGACCTGGCACCCAGGCCACTGGCTC